CAGCAGGGAGTGGAAGGGGCCCGAGGCGGGCCCCTTTTGGCGCCCGTGGGCGGACGAGTTGAGGGCCGCAGCCCCGTCCGCCGTGGAGGGCGACAACAGGTTGCCGACCTCCGCTTAGGGCCTCGGGCTGGGACCCGGAGGTGAGGGAGGGCCTGGGTCCCTCACTCCCTTCCCCGCCGCAACCCTCTCCTACCCCGCCAAATCGAGGAGCTGGAAAGACTGACGAAGGGGCCGCCGAGCCCCCTCAGTCCCTTGGGGGGGGTCTGAGGGGTGATCGCCCCCGCAACCAGACACTGCTACTAAGACCCCGGGTGGGGCGACCAAAGAGTCCAATTCAGACGGTGGGTATGCTGGGCCCCCCCCTCCCTGGACTAGGGCCGGGATCGGCTGGGGGAAAATGGGGGCAAGGTGCTCGCACCCGGAAAACCCCGTCACACTGGTGGAGAATGTGGGCATAAACATTTTTTTCCACAGACGAGCAAGACCGGGAAAACCGGGCGATTTCCCCAGAGTACGGCATGGAGCCGGAAGGAACAATGGAACCCCGGCAATTCCTAGAATGGTTCGAGGGGAACCAACGTCAACAGAATCAGGTCCAGCAAGAGCGCCAGGCGCAGCTGGTCCAACAACTGACGAGTCAATTCCAGGAACAACAAAGACTACTGATTCAGGAGATGGCTGCCCAGCAGGACCAGTGGCGGCAGACAGCAGAGAAGAGGTGGGGAACCACCACGGGAGGACCAGGAGGAGCCGGGGAAGGATCCAATCTCCCCCTGCGACTTAGCAAGTTGGGTCCCCAGGACGACCCCGAAGCGTTCCTGACCACCTTCGAGGGGGTGGCGTCGGCAGCACGCTGGCTGCCGGAGCAGTGGGCCACCTTGCTGGCCCCCTATTTGAGCGGACCCGCCCAACTGGCGTATCGGAGCCTAGCAATTCCGGACGCCCTGAACTATGTGAAGGTGAGCGAAGCGATATTGGATCAAATAGGACACTCCCCAGAGACCTGTCGACAGAAGTTCCGGCAAGAAGGGTACAGGACCGGGGACAGACCACGAGCGGTGGCCCAGCGGTTGCGGGAGTGGGCAAATCGATGGCTAGAACCGGAACAAAAGACCTGGGTTCAAGTCACAGAAATGATAGTCTTGGAGCAGTTCCTACACATATTACCCCGGGACGGGCAGCGATGGGTCCGAAGAAACCAACCCGCAACCTTCCACGAGGCGGTGGCCCTGATGGAGGCACACCTGCTGGCCGAGCAAGAAGAAAGCGGGGGCCTGTGAGAGGTACTCCCCGGTCCAAAGGCGGGAGGATCCCGGCCCCTGGGGAAACCCGGAGGGCGGGAATACCCCCCCGGGGTACGTCGAGGACGGGAGAATGTCCCTCGTTTAGCCCCGGTCTGGCCGCCCCAGCGGCCGGAGAGAGCCGAAGAGGGAGAGCCGGCAGAGCGGACCCCGAGGGAGGCACGACCAGGACCCCAGGGACCCTGCTTCCAGTGCGGGCAGGAGAGCCATTTTAAACGGGACTGCCCCATGATGGATTGCACGCTGAACCCGCCGGGACCGCGGCGAAGACGACCGGTACCAGTGACCGCGTCATCCGGGAGATGTTGATGGAAGGGCGGCCAGTTAAGGCCCTGGTCGACTCTGGGTCATCCGTGACCCTCATCAGGGCTGACCTCGTCTCCCAGAGCCAACCGGAAGGAGAACCCATCTGGATGCGTTGCGTCCATGGGGACGTCCGCGCCTACCCCACCGCCCAAGTACACCTGACCTAAGTGGGGAAGGCCAGGGACCTGCCCTACCCCCTCCTTATAGGACGAGACTGGCCTGGATTCGGGGCCCTGCTGCAGAGCCGGACCCCACTAACGCCCCAGGGACGAGCAGTGGAGTCCCGAAGCCAGGGGAAGGACAGGGAGCTCCACGGAGGGGCAATCTGTCTGGAGGTAGGGATGGAGCCAGACTTCCTGACGGAGCAGAGGATGGATCCCTCCCTGCAAAACGCCTGGGACCAAGCGACCGCGACCGGAGGGACGGAGCCAAGCCCGGACCGACCCGCCCAAGGCCCGCAATTCCAGGTATGGGAAGACAGACTTTACCGGGTCACGACGGAAAGGGAGGGGGGGAGGAGTGGAGGCAGCTGGTGGTCCCCACCCGATTTTGCCGGGAAGTATTAGAGCTGGGACACGCCACCCCCTGGGCGGGACACCTGGGGCGCGAGAAAACCTTGGACCGGGTGCTGCAACGTTTCTACTGGCCTGGGGTCTTCCGGGCCGTGCAGGACTTTAGCGCCTCCTGCCCCGAATGCCAGAAAACCGGCGTGGCCAGAGTGCCAAGGGCCCCCTTGGTACCCCTCCCGGTGGTGGCCATCCTGTTCGAACGGGTAGCCATGGACCTGGTCGGACCGTTAGAACCGTCGGGGAGGAGACACCACTTCATTATGGTGGTGATAGACTACGCCACCCTCTACCCGGAGGCAGTACCCCTCCAAAATACCAAGGCCCCTACCCTGGCCCAGGAACTCTTGCGGATCTTCTCGCGAGTCGGGCTCCCCCAGGCCATCCTTACTGACCAAGGCCTGAACGTGACATCGCGGGTCATTAAAGAGCTCTGTAGGATGCTGAAGATCAAACGGCTACAGACGTCGGTTTACCACCCCCAAACCGACAGCCTGGTGGAGCGGTGTAACCAAACACTTAAGGGCATGCTGCGCCGGTTCGTAAAGGACGACCCTCGGGGGTGGGACCTAATGCTCCCCAGCCTCCTATTTGCAGTACGGGAAGTCCCCCAGTCCTCCACAGGCTTCTCACCATTCAAGCTGCTGTACGGACGGCAAACCCGAGGGATCCTGGACCTCCTGAAGGAAGGCTGGGAACAGGCGCCGACCACCGGATGCGGAACGGTCCAGTATATCACCCAGCTACGGGAGAAGCTAAGCCGGCTGGGCGAGTACGCCCGACTGAATTTGGAAGAGAGCCAGAGGTGCCAAACAAGATACTATGACGCTCACGCCCGCCAGCGGAACTTCCAGCAGGGGGACCAGGTCATGCTACTCCTCCCCACAACCCAATCCAAACTGCTAGCACAGTGGCAGGGACCTTTTGAGATAGTAAGAAGGGTGGGGGAGGTCGACTACGAGGAAGCAGGCAAGGGACACAGCTCTTCCACATTAACTTGCTAAAGAAATGGGTACCCCGCGAGACCCTGTTGATAGCACCGGCCTCCCAGGGAGAAGATCTGGGGCCCCGAGTGGAGGAAGGAGAGGAGCAGCCAGGACCCTGGTGGGACCCCGAACTAACATGCCCACAACAGGAGCAGTTAAAAGAGGTCCTCCGGCGGCATCGGAAGACCCTCACGATGAGACTGGGCCGTACGACCATGGGTCTACACCAGATCATCACCGAGGAGGGCCGGAAGGTGCGCGAGCCCCTCCGACCCCTCCCCCGAAAGGTGTGGGACACGGTTAAACGGGAGTTGCAGCTAATGCAAAGCTGGGGGGTGATAGAGGAATCCGCCAGCGAGTAGCGCAGCCCGATCGTCCTGGTCCCTAAACCCGACGGATCAACCCGGTTTTGCATAGACTTCAGGAAAGTAAACGCCGTATCCAGGTTCGATGCCTACCCGATGCCGAGGGTGGACGAGCTACTGGAGCAACTGGGGCAGGCCGTGTACATAACAACTTTGGACCTGTCTAAGGGATATTGGCAAATCCCTCTCGACCCCCCAGCCCGGGAGAAGACAGCCTTCTCAACACCCTTTGGGCTGTTCCAATTTCGGACCATGCCTTTCGGACTCCATGGGGCAGCCGCGATCTTCCAGCGGACGATGGACTGAGTCCTGGCGCCCCACCAGGCGTACGCTGCCGCCTACATAGATGACATTGTCATCTACTGCCGGATGTGGAGGGATCATCTAAGCCACATTGAAGCGGTACTGACAACGCTGGGTAAGGCGGGCCTCACGGCCAACCCAAAAAAATGTCACTTTGCGCAACGGGAAGTCTCCTACCTGGGCTACATGATGGGGCGGGGCAAGCTGAAGCCAATTTACAGCAAAATACAAGCGCTGAAAGATTACCCGACCCCGACAACAAAAAAACAGATCCGCCAGTTCCTGGGGCTGGCGGGCCACTATAGGAGATTTGTACCGCAGTTCGCCTCCCTAGCTGCCCCCTTGACCGAACTGATAAAGAATGCAGAACCAACCAGGGTCCAGTGGAACCCACAGGCCGAACTCGCTTTCCAAACGTTAAAGGAAAGCTTGGCCTCAGCCCCGGTACTGAGGCAGCCAGACTTTGATAAACCTTTCATCCTCTATACAGATGCTTCGGAGGTGGGACTCGGAGCGGTGCTAGCTCAAGAGGAGCAGGGCGGGCATCAGCCGGTCCTGTACCTAAGCCGAAAACTGTTACCAGCCGAACGGGCCTACGCCACGATCGAAAAAGAAGCACTTGCGGTGCAATGGGCA